TCTTTATCCGCGACAGAATATTCACCAGCTTTAGGGGCTGCTGCCATTAAATCGTGCTACGTACTGAAATGATTTGCAGCGCGGGAAATGGGCCAAGTTTCCACGGTGATACAAACGACAGCGAATAATATCATCCCTCGGCTAAGTAAGACTTAGCAAAAGTGAAATCTAGTGAAAAGTTGCATTATATCGGGCCACCGAGTAAGTTCGACCCGTCGACTTCTCGGCGAGCACAAAGCAAAAATCTCGTTACTCGTATATTCTGACAAGCTTTCATCGAAGAGGGTAAAGAATGCTAACCAGAGGTTAATTTGCAAATGTAGTATTTCCGTCTTCGAAATCAGATATCGTGCGTTAATGGAAGATAGCAAAGTAACCTCGTTAAATTATTTTTAATACAAGACTCCAGCACTACCCTCGAACATTCGATCATCGAAATCACCAAAAACTACGCACCTCCACCCTCCCATCGGCCTTGCCCAAGCTCGTTTCCTCACGCGGCAAACAGTTTAGGATCACCCAAGCCCGAGCATCGTGGACGTCAAGAAACGGAAAAGCACGGAATCACGTTACGATATTACGCGGCCGAGGGTGCTTACCGCTTAAATAAATCGTAGCTTAAACGTAGCCCTTTGAACGGTTCGGTAGAGCCAGATTCGAAAAGAGGAACCTTTGCTATTCTCTCGCGGTGACTCGTGATTCGCTCGAGTGCCTCTTAACGTTTGAAAAGAGCGGAGATATATTTATTCCGACCGACGTTAAGCTGCGATCTTCAACCCCTCGACTCGAGTACAGAGTATTAGCGCAACGGTTACTAAAAATACCTTCCGCAAGTATCGGATGACATTTGTACGTCGAAGAGTCTCGAGAGTAAAAGATTTTCGACGACGAAAGCAAAGCTTCACCCACGCATTCGATCGCGACGTGTTGCGACACGCGTCAGACCCCGACGTTCAACCCCCGCGAAAAGGGGCACTAATGCCATGCATATACGTCAAGCTAAGATAATTTTGACGTCCACCTACGAGAAACCGTTTCGAAAGGTCGAGCCGGAACGGACCACCCACATGGGCTTTGACGGACCGATGGCAACGAAAGTCGATTAACTCGTATCGATTTTCACAAAATTCGCCGCGCGTTACGCAAGGGAACGATCTATCCGCGAACTCCCATCACTCGAACATATTTTTTGAACATATTCTTGAAATCGTTATTGAAGGCTCGACGTCGAGAGTTTAAGAGAAAAAACGAAAAAGAAACCGATAGATAGGTTCGCGTATACGCGAGAAACGATGCCTGACACAATGGCCTCTTTAAACTCTCTTTTGCAGTCTGCGAAAGACGCGCGACCCCTAAATTGCATTTGAATAAAGCAATTTGTGCACGTAGCGTAATCCAATTCGGCCTTCTTGCTGGTTTTCGCTACGCGAAAGCACCGATAAATCAACCAGTTGCGCCGCGCATCGAGCTGAGCACACCCCTGCGATATAACCGTATGGCTTAATTTCATTCGTTTCGCCCTGTAATTCTCACCCCATGAGAAAAAAGAAAGGACTGCGAGAACTACTCGGTACAGCGACATTTTATCGTAAGCTACGATACGTCGTTGGACCAATGTTTTGATTTATTTTTATTGTCGGGATATAATCGTTGCGAGTGAAGCGTACAGATTTATACGACATAATCAAAGATATAAACCTTTTCGTAGCATGTAGAGATGCTTAAATACTTACGTACTGTTCTCTATAATAACATCTATCAGCTACAATCTATCGCATCGTAATACGCACACCAAAACGGCCAGAACAGAGTTGCCGTATACTGATATGAGCGAATTACGTCGCCCAATAGTGCAACAGCATAGAACAGGCTAGGACAGCACATTCAAAATCGTGCGAAATCGATAAACGATTAACTCTCAACCTCGCGGCAGTGTTACACAAAATTTTCCCCAGATCCCGAAACCTGCGCGACCAATAGATTTTTTAAATCAATCCATACTCTGTACGCGTTCCTAACCCTTTACCTGCGAGAAAAAACTTGCGCGATCTTGCACGAAAAGTGACAATCATCTTATGCGTAGTGGTAGTTTGTATAAATTTAAGTAGCGCAGATAAAGGGTCGAACGTATGTTAGGAACGAGTCATTTGAATCTTGGCCTAATTCCGAACGGAGCAACGCGTAACGAGACCATCTAAGAAAACAGCGAGGAGAAATCAATAAACCAACCCTCTCGAGCTGACAATCCAAAACCATAACGTGGTCCTTAGGGTCTATCGTCTATCGTTAATCGCGAATCGCGAATCGCGAATGCATGCTCGGTTTTCCTTCTGGGACATATCAAACAAGATTCGACGGTTTGTGCGTTATCGGCAGCGGGCTATCGAGTTAGAGAGCAGGAGAGTAACGACGACAATTAATCGGTAATCGTGTTCGATACGCATTTCGGGAAGGGTTCGCGATTGTCGACGGAGTTCCCGAAACCGTGATCGAAATGAGAAATATCTCACATTTTCGTGGGCCGATGGTTCGCGTGACGATATCGCGATGACGAAGATCAGAAGAAAATTATTGATAAAAAACAGTCGCACGGAGCGAGGAACAACCGTAATCGCGGGGGATGCAAAGAGCAGGAAACGAAACGCAGACAAGGACAGATCAAGGCGGGCGAGACAGTTATGCTATGGAGCAGCGCTAAATAAACACCGAGCAGCCAAAATGAAAAACATTCCTTTTTGATATGTGTATACAGGACGGCCAGGAATACCTCGATTCTCGATTGCAGAAATCCGCGGGAGGGAACGAGAGAACGATCGTTTTACTCGAGATTTTTCTATGCCGCGATTGTCAACGCAGGAGAGCGTCGAAACATATGTTATTACATCGAAACACGGTTAATCGTTGGGTAGAAATTGTCTATATCTTATCGTACAACACTTGGCAAGCATCTAATTAAATTCAATGCTAAAAAATAATATTGTCTTTACTTTAGACGAAGAACAAAGAAGGTAGAATACATGCTGCTCTCGAGTAATATGAATTTCGATCGAATTATATCCGAATACGTTCCAGATAATCGAGCTGGCCCTTTAAGCGTCGCGTGTACACGGTATGGCACACGTAGCACGCGTAATTTTCTATACAACGACGATATACAGTATTCGAGAACATCTATTCAGCGGAACATCTAGAAAAACACCAGATAAAGAGAAAGGAAAGAAAGACAAATATATGGAAAGAAACAGTAAGAAGGTAGAAACAGAGAGAGACAGCCATCTCACCGGCCGCCACAGCTCAAAGCACTCACGAAATCTCACGGAGGGTAAGCACGACAAAACGGGCCACCTTTGTCTTTACGTTTGACAATAATTTATCTCTACGCGGGGACGAAGTCTAGGCTTTTCGTATTTTTATAACCTAAAAAAGCGATCGCACTGCTCCGTAATGCGTACCGGTGAACGCCGTGGTGCCACCTGACAGACTCTGGGAAATTTGAGAAAACAGTATTTCCTTCGGCCCATGCGCGTCAACTTTAATCGAATTTTCCCATCACAGTGCCGAACACGCGCATCACATTCGCCTCGCCGATGTGCAACGATAAACGAAATTCTATTCGAACGACAGACGACGAACGAAAAACACCGTACATCGATTTATTTCCAAAATTTATTTCGTGGATCGACTAGTCGAACAACCCCTTTCGCGCTTAACGCGATGTATCATTCTATTACAAACTCGAAACTTTTTCTCTCCGCGAATTAGCATTGCAAACACCCGTTGGATTCGTCAATTAACGTAACGGATATTTTGTTTCGTCGGTATCGAGTTATCCAGACACGATTAAAATCGCGGAAAGCTTTCGTTTCGAAGAAACAAGTTCGTTTGCGCGGTAAAATTGCAAAGCGCATGGCAAATGGCGTCGTTGTCGCAAGCGGTGAATACGAAATTTGTGCTCACATAATACATTCGCGTGACAGTCGTTTCTATGATTCCGTTTAAAGAGATTCCTTTCGTTGAATTGACATTTTGTTGCTCTGAAGAAACTTTCCTTCCTTCGGGTAGAAAGAACTTGAATAGATTATCAGGACACTGCACACTAAACGTTTGGGCGGGTAATGAGCTGTGACTGATTGCTCTACGCTCGTTCCAGCGTAAATTGTGCATACCCTGCCATCTGGAGACAGTTGCTTGAAGTAAATGACACGATACTTTTCGTTTTTATCAGCGTTAAATACTTCCAAAGACGATGTGTGAGTACAGACGATATATTTGCGTATTTGCGTCTTTATTTAAATGATAAGGTAGTTTACAGCTCTTGTTACACTACTGAGCGATTCGTTGTCTTTGTCGCCTCACATTATTTTCTACTCGCATACTTCCATACCTCTCTCTCTCTTGCTTCTGCCTACCATTCCGATCCTCTCTCATACTTCCATACCTAATATTTACCTTTTTTACTCTCATACTTCCATACCTAATATTTACCTGTTTTACTCTCATACTTCCATGCCTATTTTTGTCGTTGTACATTTATCATAGTTTTTTCATTCATTCCTTTTCGTTCAAACTTCCATGCCTGATATATACATGTTCTGCTCTCATAATTCCATACCTATTTTTGTTATCACAGTTCTATCATTCATTCCTTCATACTTTGGCTCGCATTGCTATATCACTTACTTTTTCATACTTATACAAAAAATTTTTTTTTTTGTACTTGTTAATACATTTGAACATTTTCATTTTTGTCAGACGATATATATAAATACTATTTCTTACCTCGTCTATGGTATACAATAAACTGAAACAGACTGATCGTTCGATGATGTCTCGTGTCTCGCGAACTGAAATGCCGACCTCGTGGAGATTAGTGGTTTCGAAGCGCCATCTTTGAAAACTTTTCCATGTTTGCAAAAAATCCATAAAATTCTGAAACATCGGTTACTTTTACTATCAGAAGTGCTTTCGTGTTTCTATTTCGACACGGATTGCCAAAGAATAACTGAAAATAAATAAGTGACAGAATTGAATAAACTTTATCGATCGGTCAGTTGTTGTCAGAAGAATTGTGGCGCTGACAGTGCCTCTGGTCGAATCTGGCGTCTGTGGACGGTGTGTCACGTGGTTTAAATCCGGCTGAACCGTCATTTCGTGTGGTGAGAATGACTGCTCCGATAAAAAAACGTGATATTCAACGAAGTACCGAAAGCAGCGACGATGACAATCAGAGTTGTAACAGCGAGGGTAACGAGCAAGATGCATTGGAGGAACAGGTAAGATATTTTTACATTATTTGCTACGACGCCGGACGTCTGTTTTGTCTTAACCTTATTTTGGAACACGCGGTCATTAAGATTAGATTCGATGCGAATGGATTACGATGATCAAAAATGATGTTTAAACTTGAAAATTGTGTAAGGTTCGAAAATCATTCACCCAACTGTCATTGTAACCAACGTGGTCGTCATTCGACAGGGGCGACGTTAAACATATTTTCTTTAATAAAATACATTCTTTTCGTATAAGTTTGCGTTAGAAAAGTACAATGTTACATTTAATATGACGGATAAAGAGAACGAGCGAGTGCTGCAAGTTTTTATTTAAGTTTACTTCGTTTTAACAAGAAATCAAAATGCTGAATTTTTACTATTAGGGAATGGTAATTCAAGTAGACTTTGAGGGAAGATGTCCGTTAGACCCAGATTATCATGGGATTAAGACTCTTTTACAGCAACTGTTCTTGAAAGCACATATCGATGTAGGTGGTCTCACAGATTTGATTATTTCTCAAAACTATGTGGGATCCGTTGTTAAACAATCGGAAGATTTAGAAGATACAGATGACGAAGACAACGAAGATAATAGCGACGTGTTTGGTATTACTACAGTAATTAATTTATCTAATGGACAGGTAAGCATATATCTTGGGTGAGAGTAGAGGCACGTTATCACGCTGAAATGTTTGTTTCAGAACCATCTCTGCATACAACAACTCAGAGATCTGTTAAGACAGTTAGCGAATGAACATGCGACAGATGCGACCAATACTATGATAAAACACGTTCTCGAGAACGATTCGGAAGCTTTAGGCTTATTAATTAACGAAAGATTCGTTAACATTCCCGCACGAATTTCCGTGCCGCTTTTGGAAAGTCTAACTTCCGAAATAAAGCGAGCGAATAGCAAAAAAATGCCATTCAACTTTTCCTACTACGTACTGATCTGTAAATTATACAAAACGGAAGACCAAAAAATTGGAAAACAATTGAAAAATAAGAAAAAGAGTAACATGGAAGAACCAACAATTTTGTGGAGTAATCCAGAGGAAGAAATTTTTGCAGAGGAAGCAACGTTCAGTTTTGAATTTTCCGTCGAAAAAGAATCGGACAGTGGTCTGTCCGGAACATGGAGCGAAACGGATAACGAGATGGTACCCTATAAAAGGATTCTTCTGTTCGAAGCGACGAAACTACAGCAAATTATTGATAAAATAAAAGTACATGTTTCTTTTCTATAGAATAAAAAAAAACAATCAAAAAGTCTAACAATAAATTCGTCTTGTATTCCTAAAAATGTATGTAATGACTGAACTAACATGTAATCGGCTTTTTATAATACACCTTTATTCGTAATGCTTACCGCAACATGTTGTCAGTCACTTCTCCCTTAACCATCATTTATTCATTTTCTTTACACATATAAAAATACGTTTCGCACGTTAATTCGATGGTATACAAATTTATTTTACGGGTAAATAAATAACGTTACTTTGAACAGCATTTCCGTAAAACAAGTCTGTTTGTATCGACAATGGTCAATCAGGTGGCGCGTGCCTCAGATTTTATTTATTAAAAATATTTTGCGCGTTGCTAACGGTAACTGTTTTCATGTCGATTGAAAAGATTGCTTTACCGGTTTGGCTCTTCGTCTCATCGTTCCTAAAATGTTTAACATTTCCGAAACTGCTGGTGGTGCGCTTTCTGCTTCTTGTCGTCTTCTTCTTTCCTCCTCCCTTTGTTTCTGCAATAAATCATTTCGTAAAATAAATTCCATTCAAGGATACGCGTTATTTCCACAATTATTGAACTCACGTCTGTCTGCTTTAGCGTGAAACGTCCACCTTTTATCTGGTTAATAATATCGTCGATAGCTGTAAAGATATCAAAAACAAAATTGCTCTACAAACGAATTTTGGACACATTTTTTCGTCAGTCAACAATATAATTAAAATATAGTTACCTGGTTGTTGTGCAACCGTCGGTGTTTTCTTTGCGATGCCAAGCATGTTCTCCATATCGGTTACGGCATTGCGTTCCGAATTCATTTTTTCTTTGGTCAGCAATTTGATCGACGACGGACCGCCGTTGTTGAACATTGGCGGTGGCGGTGGCGGAGGCAAAGGTGGCGGTGGTGGCCTAGAAAGCTTCTCTTCCAGCTCTCCAATTTTCGCCTTTAAACTTTGAATCACATTCTCCAGACTTTCCATCGACTTTTCCGCTCTTTCAGCCCTCTGCATTGCCACCTCCAATTCCGATTCCGCTAACTTCAACTTCTCCTCGACTATCTCAAATTCTACGTTTGACTCTTTCTCTTCCAGTTTTTCTTCTAGCATTTGTATATGAGAGGCGTGGCTCTGTTGCTCTTCCTCCAATAGTCTCTTTAGAGATTCCACTTCTTGAAGAACTGTCAATAATCTTCCATTGGGGTCGTCGCCGACTTCGGCCATCAGGAGCGCGCTCTGATGCGCCAGCACGTTCCTCTCTTTTTGTACCTGTTAACAATCCAAATACTTTTAATAATCGATCCACTCCATCAAAAGGTATAGCCGACGAGAACTGATGCCGTACCCTTTCCGCCTCGATTTTCATTATTTTTGCGTTTTCTCGTTCTCGATCGCACTGCGTCTTCAACGACTGCACTTCCTCCGCGACCATCTTCGTAACTCTCTCCATGTTCTCTTTGTGCACCTTCATTTCGTTTACTTTCTCCTCGCCTGAAAGGAAATATTCGAATCAATGTCTATTCTCTCTTTGATAAATGTTTTAGAATAATTGTAGGAAATCGTTCGATCACATTTTTGCCTGAGAGATTTTTCCTCCTCCAACTGTGTGGTCAAATGCGTCACTTGCTCCTGGGCCTCGAATTCTTGAAGTCGTGCGGAGTGTAACTCTGTTTGAAGCCTCGCTATCTCTTTGCTCAGTTCTGAAAATCGTACGTTTTCGCGATTAATCTTTATCGCGGCGCGATGAAATAGAAATAAAATCACGAATTTACCTTTCACCGTTTCCCTGAGCTGATCGAGATCTTCGAAATTCGAGTCGACCTCGTCCGACACGTCGATATCCAACGAACCGTCGTGATTATTTTGCAAGAACTTTTGCGTTATAATCTGCGATCTTCTTTTAAGTTCACGGTTCTGTCTGTACCACTAAAAAAGATTTCATTCCGTTGATAAATCACGCACGAGGCTGGAATCGTTTCAAGTTTACCTGTGACGCCTGTTGCATCGCTTTATGCATCGCACCTGTTTCCACATCGTATTGATGCTTCAGTTGCTCGTATTCTTTGCACACAGCCTCGGAAACTAAACGAGAGAGATACAATTTTTTGGGTGTACACGTTCACGATGAAGATTACAAATATCGTATGCACGGTGTTTTTACCTGTCCGCATTTTTTGAAGCTTCTGTTCGTTCTCCTGAACTTGTGATTGCAAAGCGCTATTTTGTTTCTGTAAATGTTGGTACTTTCTCTCCAGGTCGACATGGTCCTTGTTCGCTGCAATTTAGAAAAAAAAAAAAATATCATTAGATCGTAAATGCATCTCACGGACAACTCGTCGAATCTCTGGCGACATTTTATACCGATCGATTTATAACACTATCGCGTACGATCGCTGACTAATAAAACGACACAGCGTTCGTTTTGCATGCAGGAGTGAATCACGACCGAATAATGGTCAAGTCGCATTACAGATGATTGGCCGTGAACTATAATCACGCGTCAGCCGCTTCCCTTTCGCCGTGCATCTTTGTCGATGCATGTCTTCTTTTACGTAAGTCTATTAAAAACACCTCCGATCGTTCTCCCAATAACAAATCGATAGAAGTCAACGTATATCGAAATAATCGTTCGAATTTCAGAAATAAGAGTACAGAGTTACAAGACACATAAGATATCTCGCGTGTACGCGTCGACGATAAAACGATCGAGAAAATATTCCACTTCTCCGAGAATTATTAATTCGCATCGTCGTATAACTGAACATATCTCTGAAAGATGCATCTGGCGAAGAAGGGTGCAGCCGCTGTCCCATATTTACCAAACTTCGTATCGCGCAGCTGTTTAATCGAATTAATGCTCGACGCCGGTAGGAGAAGAAGCCGTGTTTCGTCACTTCGTTAATGATGACTAATGGAAATCGTAATAAAGTTCCCTAACTTCGCTACTTTAGGCGCGTGTATACAAACGCGCATTAGCCCGTCGAACTTATCGCTAATTATTAATTACCGGCCTCGCTCTTCTGCAGCAACAATTTCCGTCTCTTCTCAGACTCCTCGTATTTGTTCTTCCACTTGCTCTCGAGACTATTGCTCCGGTTCAGTTTAGCGACGCCGACGCCGCCGGTCGTCTCGTTCGTCCTCCAGTTAGCAAACACCGGCGAGGTCATCTTCTCCTCGGTGTTTCGCATCTCGATGCTCGACGCCGATAAATTGTTGTTCTTCGGACGCAGCTGAACGGAAGCGTCGAGCTTCTCGAAGGACGCCTTTTGAGCGGCCACCGACACGCCCCTGGACAGCTTTTCGAAGGATCCTCTGCGAGCCGGGGGACATCTTTCCTGTGCTTTGATCGCGTTCGTTACCCTCGGCACTGGGATGTGCGAGTGAATTACGCCCGTGGTCGTTCTCGTCGGCTCCGTGCTCAGAACGATCTTCAGCTCCGTTTTGTTCATGTCGCTTTTACGAATAAGAGTACAATTGAACTTTGCTTTCCAGCGAATAGTACAAACGATTCTGTATGTAACAAAGGGACAGTATCGCTATCGAAATGTACTCAAAGGGTTGGTAACATCGGCGTTCCCTAAAAATAAGCGTATTGGTCGCACCCCCCGTAGTCAAAACACGTTAGAAATAGCTAAGCTATCAAAACGTATCCGTGGCTAATTTCGGAGTACAGAGCACCGAGATAAGATGTTCTTCGAGTCACGAATACTTACTTGGAAATGATAAACGTTACGCAAAGTAAACCTCGAATCGAGTTACCGGCCAATTGCAGTCTAACGTCTAGATCTCACGTTCGAGCTTCGATAAGCGTTAACAAGGAAGCGAAAATACTAACTTGTATTTGCACCGTCGATCGACGAATCGGTAGAATATTAAATTCTAAACGGATATTTACCAACTCGCAGGAGCTCCACGAATTTGGAATATTATTAACACACTGCCGTTTCTTCTCGATAATTCTCTGTTATTGTCACTGATAATGTTGTTCGCGAAACAGACGCGTCCTAATGGTTACGCGTGAATGTCGAAAGAAAAACATTGCCCCCCCTCCCCTACTCGAAATTACGAGGCACGTGGTTGGCCGTCGCGAGAGTTAGGCGAAATTCCTGCAAACGTTTCGAAGTCGTTTCGCCGGAATTCGTGCGTCACTGTTACCGAGGATGATCGTTAACGGAACCTACGGCGACGTCATTCAGGAAAGTCTGACGTCTCGACCACTTTCGCGATATAAGTGCTTGGACAAGGGCCAGGTTAACGATCTCTCTGCGCATCGAAAGCCCAAGGCTCTCCCATTTGGCGAGTCTGCCAGGAAAGCTATCGACGATGCACACTCGTCTCAAATCGTTATCATCGACGCTAAGTCGAGTGTCGATCTTAAATTACACAAATCGTAATTACAGTTATGCTCTTAGGAGTGCCTTCTAGCTTTTTAACATCGGACTTTCGATACGTTCGCTGTAGAGCCCGTATACGCTACAGCAGAATAGTTTCTGTGGTGGCGCGTTCGCGCATGCCACGACCGTCCTATTTTCGAATATTTTCATTTCTTCCTCGGTACTATACTTACCATCCCGAAGCTGGATGAATTTTTACACATACTTGATATTACAAAAAAAAAAAAAAAAAAAAAAATTGATCATGAAATTGAATCAGCCCACAGACCTTTCCTACCATTTATCGAAAGGTTAATCGCTGAGACCCCGCAGTCTAGCAGTTTCGTACCGCACGCGCAAACACAATTCAACGGAATACCAAAGATTCCAGAGGAATTTTTACCCGTGACCAAGACTATTTTTAATTCTCCCGAGCTCGAGCGTGGTTCCGACCGAAGAGGGAACGCACTGTCTTCAGGAAGAGCGAAATGATAATTTCGAACGTGCCGTGTCATACGAGTGTCGACTCTGCGCGCAGGTCGGCGGTCACGTAGATCGTTGCACTTTTCCGTGTGCACCACGCCATCCACTCGCGATTCAATCGATCGCCTTGTTCGCATCGTTGCTCGATTTCAAACCAACTTCCGTCGATGATCTTGCGTCAAACGCGCACGAAAATCGACGATCGTCGCGGGAATAGTCGATTTAACATCGCGCCGATTATACAAGAGTTCATATCCGAGATTCCGTAATATCCTCAAATTTTCAGGATAATACTTGCAACGCATTGTTCTTATGTAAAAAAAAAAAAAAAAAAGTTAAAAAAAGATCAATATTTCAATTCGAAATTACCAAACCGCCCTCTTATTATTCGCATACGGAACTACGGAATCATACGACGTGCGATCGCCTTCGTGAAAAGTCGACAAAGTCCTTTCACTTTTCCTGTTTCGCGCTAGTGGATGTTGAACGCCGTCAAACGCCGTTCTCGTAATCGAGCGTACTTTCGTTCGACACGATTTCCCGCATTCTTCCCAGAGGCAAACGTTCAAGAGTTACGCGTTTCGTTACTTTAGAGGAAAAATAGGGGAAAAAAAAAAGGAACCGCGAATACCGCGAAAGATTAATCGAAACGACGGACACTAACGAGCTGCGCAACTTACGGTTTCAGTCGAGGCTGTTATTATACGTTGACACCGATATTAAATCACTGTTCGAACGAGTCACTGCATCTTCGAAACTCTAGTGAAGCACTAAGAAACGCTGAACGATCTTGTACGAAACGATAGTCCGTGGTGGAACTGAATGAAACGAAACGAAACAAACACTCTGCAACGAATAAGAAAGAAGGTGCGCGTTCTCCGACGTTCGCGCGCATACTGCTCATACGGCTGACCGTAATGTCACGTTATCTCGGGAGGTTCCAGACGACTCGAAAGAGCCCCGAGAGTGCGTGCCCTTCCTTTAATGAAAGATATCGATGTGTGAGTGCGTGGAGGCAAGGCTTCCTCATTGTCAGCGAAAAACTGCATTGCGCGCGTTGTTCTTCTTTTGTTTACGTATCATTTCGTGGGTGTTTCGAAAGAAACGCTGTTACGAATGCGCCAATTTAATCGACGACGATCGACGTTAATCGACTCCTTTTTCTTTTTATCCCGCGAGGCAAGTTTTTATTAGAATTACGTATTGTGAAATGTTCTTCTGTAATTTCTGTACAAGTACCGATTGCCAACTATTTAATCGTTTCGTACAGTTGCAACAAAGAAACATTTGTTCTCCAAACATTTCAACGCAACTGTTTCTAATCGACCGAATCTTTCATAGCGCATCGAGTAACTTGCTTTAATAACGCGTTATCACGCACCTATTAGCCATGAAAGACACTTGAGAATGCATGTCGTTGCTTTAATATCGTGTTCGACCTACAGACGAGAAATTCATCGGGAGAAGGTGATAAGACTTTATTGCGCGTATGTGTGATTAACATTGCTTAATCGAAACGATCGTCGAAATATGTTCGTTTGACAATTGCGAAATGATTGTTTTCATAAAAAAATTTGTCTTCTGCTCGGTGACCACATGCATCAGTTGTCATCGCATGTATAACACAAGTCAGGTGCGTTAATGGTTACGTTGCCTTCGAGAAACGGTCTCCTCGATTTCTCCGATACGATTATTTTTTTCTGCGATACAGCTGCGCACACATACGCGAAAGAAAGAAAAACCGTAGGAACATAGTTTCAACGACTACGTATGCGGACTTGAGTCATAATTTCTGAATAATCGTCCAAGTCAGTCTTTGTCCCCGGTTCGGTTGCCACGGAAGCACGTTGACGCCTTTGCGGTACGCGTCCACGCGAATGTAGATACGAAGGAATCGAGTAGTTTCGTTCACCGAGGCCAGCACAGCCGCCGCCGTTGTTTTTTGTCACCGATAATAATAACTCGATCCTCTTCGTCGAGTTACGAGAACTCGCTCTTATCGGAGAATTTTCAACGAAGAGAACCGAACCGTTCGAAAGTTAGTCAAATTGTGCCGTACCCAATTCGTTTTTGTACGTAAAAGATTGAACAGCTATATCGGCTGCGATGTATGTAGCATTCATTCTTCCATGCACGATTATAGATCGTGTAACTGCGCAGCAACGATCTACTGCGCAGGAACGTGGCGATTCAAAATTCAACTTTCACCGCAAACACTGGCAACAATATTTTCTCGGAAGGTAAATATTTTTTTCTTTCAAGTGTCGTATATCGCGCCGTATTAAACGTTAGATAATATTGTTTGCCTTTGAATATTTCATCCTCGAAACACGTGCAAAAATCGCGATGTGCTCGAAACGCGCGTTCGCACAGCGCGTGGTTTAAACTCTCGTAAAGTGGCATCATTAAACAGCTTTATTGTCTAGAATTATTTCCCTACTCTCGTCATAACTAAAGAGACGCTGTGAGTCACGTTCATTAAGTATGTAACGGGTGGCCAGAGAGTTCGCGGAAACTGGAAACGAGATAAAGGACTAGGATTTAAGATTTCGCGGCAGAGGATTCGATTACACGACCGAGCCTCTCCGGTTTCGCTTGTCTTTGATTCTTTTCTCGTTAAACCGCGCGATAACTGTTTTCGTTCCTTCCTCCGGTGTGCCCCTTCGTTCTGTATTTTATGAATTAATCGATACATACCTCGGACATAAATTGGCGAATGTTCGAAGCGTTTTGTTTCATCGTCTTCTATTGGAAAATGAATATCGAGCATTGCGAGATATTGAGTGGCAAAGAAATCTCCCAGTATGCCCAGTAGATCATGATTTAGAATCGTTGCTAAATTACCATGCTCTCGATGGACCTTGTTAAGTCAGGGACAAGTTAAGCGTGAAGTTTTGAATTATGACAAATTTATTACATTACCTAGTGAAGAAGTAGAAACAGACGCACACTAATACAGGAGCATAAATGTACACGGTTTGTGCATTAATGTGTGTTCACCATTCTCGCCACTTCCCCAGATGGTATGGTAAATTTATCGTAATTCAGACTTCCAAGATTATTATCCAAAACCTTACTCTATGATGGTAAGCAAATCTGATATGGAATAACGTTTCGTTATTCGTAGATACAACGTGTGACATTTACTGCTCTGATGTTGTAAATTCATTTCCAGAAGTACAATTATATTATAAACTATGAATTATCGCGATGGTAATGTACGCGGTTTAGGGAATATTCTTGTCAAATTCTTATCGCTTACGTAGAGATATGTTTCTAAATTTGAAATGTTTTTACAATATTTCTGACATTCTGAGATGCAATCTACGAGCATCGTGTAAACGGAAACATTTAAAGCGATCGTTAAATTTGAAACGTCTGACAAAATCTAGGTTAGAAAACGTGCATTATTTGCACTGCGAAGAGTTGCCCAGCCTGATTCTTGACACTTGATAACGTTTATCGTTGTATAGTCAGAAGGAACAGTCTGCTGGTATCTGCTATTTCTATCATTAATTAAACTGTGATGAAGAAAGAAAACTCTTTTTTTTGTGTTGCAAGAACAATCTCTTAGATGACATTAAGTTACTTTTTAACGACCAAGTGCCATTAAATGAAACGACCAAGTGCCATTAACCGTTTTTATACGAGTACCGATATTCGGTGAAAAAGAGCAATTTTATCGTGTTACAAATAATAAGAGCTTTAATTAAATAAAAGTAATATCAAAGTGATTCGAGCTTGATGTTCTGCTGTACTGACAGTCATGACACGTCTAAGAGGCCGAGCCTCTTTAATGGCAATCATAATGATCAGTTTCACTTTGTTGATTGTTAGTTATTTTATTCTGAGTAAAGAGGTCGAGGACATCTCAGCTAATAAGCTCAATCCAAGATTGAAAATCGAAGAAGTATATTCACTGAACGATCTTACACAGAATCCTCGTAGTTTTGCCAGAAAACAGGAGATAGAGGCTCGCATGATGGGAAAGTTAAAAAGTAACGGAGGAAAATTATTTCCTGATTTCAATTACGATAAATCATATGCAGAAACTGTCCCCTTGTTCAAAGGTCATAAAATCGTGCACCTAGATTTAAAGGGTGCTCCCTTCAAAGCAAGTTATTATAAGTACCTGTTACATTTGCTCAAGAAATTAGGTGCAACCGGTATACTCATTGAATACGAAGATATGTTTCCCTTCGAAGGGAAGATTCAAAATATCAGTGCTCATAATTGTTATACTAAGAGGGATATCGTAAATATTCAAGAGATAGCTAACGAAAACAAGCTCATTGTCATACCGTTGGTGCAAACTTTTGGTCACATGGAATTTGTACTTAAGCTGGACGAATATAAAGATTATCGAGAAGTACTTCGTTACCCTCAAGCTTTGTGCCCTACCTATAACAAAACTCTTCTGTTAATTTACGAAATGGTAGATCAAGTTGTGGCTGCGCATCCTAACGCAAAGCATTTACACATAGGAGCAGACGAAGTATATCAAATAGGAGAATGTTCTAGGTGTTTAGACGCAATGATTAAAGGACAATTAGGTAAAAAGCAATTATTCTTGGATCATGTTTCAAAAGTAGCGAGATACATCAGAGATAGATATCCAGAGCTCACGATTCTCATGTGGGACGACGAATTTAGAGAAATTTCTCCAGAGGAAATAATAGACAGAGAACTACATTTAATGGTAGAACCGGTCGTTTGGAAATACACCACCGATCCCGGAGTGTCGTTAACGGATCAATTGTGGGACAGTTATGCAGCTGTTTGGAAAGATATCTGGGTAGCTACGGCTTTTAAGGGTGCCACAGCACCGGATAGGTATTACACGGACATCGCTTATCATATGGAAAATCATCAACGTTGGTTAGAAATTATCAATAGGTACTCTTCCCAAATTACATTCAAGGGTGCCATCTTAACAGGATGGCAGAGATATGATCATTTTAGCGTACTTTGCGAACTTTTACCCTCTGCTATACCATCGCTCGCTGTGAATTTAGCCATTCTACAAGCTCCAGATTTAAACGGATTTCCAGGAGATGCGTCTCCTTCTGTGTTGCAAGCGTTACAATGCGAGGGAAAAATTGCTTTAAGTATTCCAG